CTTATGACTTTAGAAAAATGATGGCAAGAATTGCATATTAAATTGTTGCAACATTGTAGTATTGATGATAGTAAAAGATGGGTGATTATATTATAATATTACAATATGCCACAATAAATTGTCAAGCTTGTATGCTTGAAATTAGAAAGATCATTCAAAGAATGGCTTAGCCAAATAAGTATACTGTTGTTTCTTGTTTTGAGATTAGTTATAAATAATATGTAATAATTGATTTTATTGTATAAAGAATAGAAAAGCTTTCCCAAGTATAAATATCAAAGAAACATCAAAGAAATAAAAATTTAGTTTATGTATTAAATACATGACCATTTTAGAAATTGATTGGTATGAGTATAGTTTTCATGCCTTATTATATATTACAAGCTATAGGATTGTGCTAGAAGGTCTTGAGAATATGTTGTATTGGCCAAAAGTTTAGTTAAGAATGTTAAAAAGAAATTAGAATTTAGCCAAAGTATATATGTTGTGCCATATGTTAGATTGAATTTACAATGATTAATATGGCAATATAGATTAATGTATAGAATGTAGCCAAAAGAAAAGAAGAAAGAAGGGCATGTATAATTATAGAATTGCGTATGTACACACGATGCATAGAATTCAAAAATAAAGAATAAAATAGAAAATTTTTAATTTAAGCGTGTTGCTAGAATAGAACTTTGGGCCTTCCAGAAAAGTATAGAAATAAAAGCCTTAGAATTAATAGAATACATGCTAGAGTTAGACACGTATTTTGGGATCATGCATAGACAACATATAAATGCATGACATACATAACATATATTTCAGAAATTTTAAAATTATTAGAAAATGTCTAGCTAGTTATTTTTCCGATTTACAAAGCATGTTTTCATAGGGTTGTTGCGTTGGGGAACCTATGAGCATTCACTGCGTTAGCTAGTGGCGACAGAGATGCAGAGGTTTCCCACATGCACGCCGCCATCAGTGAGCGGCCTCATAATAGAAAACAGAATTGTATAGTCCGCTAGAAGTACATGTGGATGAGGACTGTACCCAGAAAGAATTTCAGAATACGCTCACATGGCCAGGGTTCCAAATCCATGCCTCGGTCTAGTCTGATCGGCAAACCAGAACAGAATACAGAAAGAATTTCAGAAAGAAAGAAAATAGAATCAGAAATAGAATATAGAAAGAAAGACAAATAGAATAAGAAATAGAAAACAAAAAGAATTTCAAAAAGAAAAGAAAAAAATTAGAAAAGAATTTTCAGAAAGAATACAAACATGATCATTTGCATATGCATCAGACATTTTATGTGCATTGCATCTCATGCATTTATGCATAGATTAAATAGTTTATTTTATTATTGCATGTTTGACTAGCCAAGTAAAGTAAATAGAAGGCCATGAGAATAGAGAAGAAAAGAAAATAGCAGCCGATGAAAACAAAAGCCTACGAGAATAGAAAAGAAATTAGAGATATACAAGAAAAGAACATAAATTAGATACATGCTAGAAAAGAACAGAAATTAGAAACATGACAAATAGCAAGGAAACTTGTGATTTGTTGAGTAGAGAAAGAATCAGAAAGTTATAATCTAGTAGAGAAGAGAAATAAAATGATAAAGAATAGCACAGCATTAGAAGGATTTAGAAAGATTTGAGAAAAATAGAAGACTGCTAAGTAGTACACCTGAGAATAAAGAGAGAAAGCAAGCAGAAATTTAGAAATAGTACAGTGAAAATAGGGACAGCAGAGTAAGAGCATAGTTAGATTTGGTTTACTTACTGAGCATTTATAGCTCACCCCGTTGCTTTCTTTATTTTGCAGGTATTAGATTATAGTGGTTGGGAGACGTCAAGCTGGCGAGAGGATTACACGCACTGTCTCAGTGAAGAATTTTAATGTGGATTGATATATATGAGAAATAGTCATCGTGTAAGAGTATGTTATAACTGGATTAAGGATAAAAATTTTAGACGAACACTTTTTTTTAAGCTAGCAATTCTCTAGATTCTCTCTATAAGATACTCAGTGAATACTTGCCTAGTGAGATATTACAATTCTCTAGGCATTAGGGTGAGTCCTTCCTTAGTCTTATAGTCTATGTTGATGCTATTCTCATTACAAGAAACAATGAGAATGTAATCAAACAATTAAAGGAGTATCTATATAAGGCATTCCATATCAAAGACTTAGGGGCACCCAAGTATTTTCTTGGCATTGAGATTACTTGTTCCTCAAAAGGAATATCCCTCAGCCAGCGGAAATATGTGCTTGAACTCATATTAGATTCAGGGTTAGTAGCATGCAAACCAAGTGTCATTCCTATGAAACAAAACATTAAGCTCACCACATAGGAGTACGATGAAAAAATCCAAAATTCCGAGACTAATCACTTATTAGATGACAACTCTTGTTACCAACGACCTGTTAGAAGACTTATATACCTCACAATGACTCGACTAGACATCAGCTACGCAATACAAATTCTCAGCCAGTTTATGCATGCCCTAAAATAATCCTACATGGATGTAGCAATTAAAGTACTTAAGTACTTAAAAAGTTGTCCAAGGTTGGGACTTCTCTTACCGAGAAAAGGATACTTAAGCATCACTGTGTACTATGACTCAGATTGGGGTTCATGCCCAATAACAAGAAGACCCCTCACTGGTTTCTGCATTAAACTTGGAAAATCTCTTATTTCATGGAAAACAAAGAAGCGAACCACAATATCACTCTCGCCAACAAAGGTAGAATATAGAGCCATGACTAAAACCACATGTGAGATCACATGGATTCTTGGTTTATTAAAGGATATAAATTTGCAAGTAGAAACATCGGTCAGGTTATATCGTGACAACAAGGCAGCAAATGAAATCGCAGCCAATCCAATTTTTCATGAAAAAATGAAGCATATAGAGATTGATTGCCACTTTGTTAGAGACAAAATACAAGAAAGTATGATCAAAACAGAGCACATGTGGACCACATATCAACTAGCAGATATCTTCACAAAGTCGTTATGTTAGAGACAACATTCGCATCTATTAGGCAAGCTTGGAGTTTATGACATTTATAAACCATGAGCTTGAGGGGGAGTGTTGACACTGAGTGATGATATGCATAATTAGCAGACAATCATGTGGAAGATTTAGTGTGATTAGACCTGGCAAAACGGGTGGGTGGGCCAGGTAAAGGTCGGGTCCAAACGGGTACGAGTCTCATGGGTACGGGCCCAAAATAGGTCAATCTAAATAGGTCCAAAATATTGGACTCGTACCCTACCGTATGCAGGTGTGGGTGGACTCGTGGGTACTTGCACTATTCACTTTAGTTTTCAATTTTTATAATTAAACCCCCACAATTTATACATTTTTCATTTTTTACAATCATACCCCATTCACCTAAACAACCTATATCTAACCCGCCAAATAGTCTCTAGTCTATTCACAAAACAACCTCTATCTAACCCACCAAACAACCTCTAATCTATTAACCAAACAACCCTTATCCTGCCCACCAAACAACCTCTAATCTATTAACCAAAAAACCCTTATCCTACCGACCAAACAACCACCTCCTTGTCCCCAAAACACTCCAAGAACACCATTTGACTCCAAGAACATTCGATTTCAAGCTTTCAAGTTTCAACACACCATCACAGATCACTATTCACTACTGCCATTTCAACCACCATCATCATTCCCCATCCCTCAAACACTTCAAATTAAAAAGCAAGAAATCCAAATAAAGAATAATCTCAAAACAGAACCAACATCAAATCATCAACAAAATAACCAAATACACAAACCCCATACTAACACCACCACTGTCACAATTATCATCCACCATCCATGGCTTGAAGTCGTTGCCTTTGCATTGTTTGAAGCCGTGATGGTGCCTTTGCTTCAAGTCATCGTCGTGGCCTCACTTGAAGGCACAGCGGTGGCTTTTAAAGGTGGGGTTTAGGTGGGTGATGGGGTTGCTAAGGGGTAAGGGGAGTGGAAGAAAAAGTAGTGGGGGAAGGTTAGTTTAATCGAAAGGGTCATTATCTTAGACAATAAAAAAAACTGTACAATTCACTCAGAAATGTACAACATGAGTTGAAACAATCAGCCACGCCTGGAGATCGGTGCAAGAAAATGGTTCAATGGCTTTTGATTTTTCATTGTAAGGGTGTGAGTGTTAGAAGGGCTAGACGGCTATAGCTTAGACTTTAGAGAATAGGGAAATGTTAATTTTTTTTTTTTTTTTAATTATGCGTGTACCATAGGTTTACCTGGTCCACCTGATTGAAAAACGGGTAGGGCCGGGTACGAGTCTAATTTAAATGGGTTTTTTAAGGGAGTACCCATACCCTATATTTTTTTAGCGGTACAGGTTGACCTGCGGGTGCAAACGCATTTTACCAGGTCTAGGTGTGATCAGATTAAAGTATAATTAGCAACATTATATTATTTCCTTCCTTATATTGATTCCTTACAAGTTACATTCTACTTGTATAAATTAGGACAAACTATACATGAAAAATACAACAAACATTTACATAATTCTTCTTTCCATTGTTTTGTTCTTTATTTCTCTTTTAGGCGTTCTCAACAACTAAGTTGCTTCTCTTGCCCCTCTAGCCTCTTCTTGGCATACTTCGGTAGTTCAACTACCTCTCTTGCCAGTCCTTTTCCAAATTCTTACAAAAACCTCCCAGTAAGGTCACCAGCTGGTGGGTAAGTTAATTTTTCTCTATAAACATTCATAGTATGCCCTAATATAATTTAAAATTACGTAACATCACAAAAAGGCTCCATTTAACATGAATGTAGCTCAGAAGAATAAAGGTTTCCTTTGAGGTGGTGAGGCATTAAAATATTAGTTGGGCATAGCTTGGTGATCAGTCTCATTTGATTCTTTTATTCAAAAGAAAGACATGGAAACTTCTTCACATCTTTGCTTCATTCCTAGGAAATGAACAATACCCCAGCTTTTAAATCTCTCATTTTCGGGGTAACATCGTATCTATTCATATTCTAAGTCGCTTCCTGCAGAGAGAAAACAAAAATGGGACAAGCATTACAGACATTTGCATCGGGTATTTTTATTTTATTTTCTCTTCTTTATTATAAATATTCATTGTTATTATTTTTAATTTATGGGTCTAAATAATATCATTAATTCATTAAAATTACATTTTTTTTATTGAGTTGCTAAATAATTATTCCACTCCTAATCCTAAGCTGTACAAATTGGTTTTCTTTTTTATTATAAATAAAATAAAATAAAAATTAAACCTTATGTGCCTTAATTGGTCCATTGCAGGAAGTGACGAAAAGAAGAATGAAGAGATTGGTCCTCTAATAGGACAATGTTATGAAGATTTTATTGCAAAAACAAAATTTGAGCTGATGACCTCGGCTGACTTCCACAAAGCAGTATGCCAAACCATCGAGTATTATAATTTTCTCATTCTTCTCTAGCCATATTTTAAATTTCTGGTCACATTGGATAAATCAAATTCATTAGAATATGTTTAACATTTGATTGGAAAATTATAAACTCTTAACTTTCATTTTATATGAGCAGAGAACTCAACAAAAAACTTGGTAGCACTCAATTTCGCGTACCAAATACTGACACTCTCAAGGCAGCGTATGAGGTAAGTAGTTATTTTTTTTATTTTTTTATTTTTAATTTCATTATTTTATTCTCAGCATTTTGCTTATCGATATTACTGTAAATTGCATGCGTTATCTCCATTTAATCAATTAATTATCATCAACCTTTTATCACTTTGTTTCTTATATTAAAACTTCAAAGTTGACCTTTGATAAAGATTGGAATATGTAGAGAAAATTTTTATAGGATGAACGGTTCATGATAGCCAGATAATAAATAAATTTTTACGGATCGATAAAATTGTATATATTTGATATGAATTTTGAAAATTTTTGTGGGATCGAGGTAGCCATCCTGCAGATCTGTGAATGTCGCTGTCCCTGATGTAAATATTAATTTTCATTAAATTAAAATTAAGCAATTATGAATGTCCATGAAAATAAATTCATATATAATACGATATATATTATTGCACAAATTTTGGGAAATGTTGGAAACATTTTTCTTTACAGTGTAATTAGCTACATTCACTGTAATAATTGATATTCATTTGGCTTAGTTAATATGTCAATAATTTGCAGAAGCACCACCAAGGAAAGGGAAAATCATTAACGAAAGAAGAGTTTCAAAGGATTCTTCAAGATGTGATATTTGCCACAGGATTTACAGGTTTTGGAGCAAAGGACATAATCTTCTATATCTTCGGACTTCCGGCGACAGCACTTCTCTTAAAGCAACGGATAGCACCAAGAGCAGTTCCCAACGACATTTTTATCCCCGTTGTCACCTCTGCCACTGTCTTCCTTCTTGCTAAACTTAATAAGATATAAAGAATGGATTGTACAATTGCTATTGCCCTCCATCCAGTCAGTCGAATTATGTTATTCACGAATGTTTTGCTTATTATCATATAGATTTTCATAAAATGCGTGGATAAAAGTAATAATATAATTGAGATATTAAGAAAAATATATATCATAATTTCATATAGAGATTAATTAATTAACCATTCAATTTAGGGAAATTAGATTAAACGGTTTAAAGCTACACGGAAAAGAAGTTGTTTTACTGTAATATTTCAATTCCATCAACACATGTATATATTCACAATTTATTAATTATATACATGTTACAAACAATCATGGAATATTGCATAAGTAATTTGATATTAATACTAACCTCTTGCCATAGCAATTGTTGTTTAATCTTCATGCTTCTGTCTCTTCAAAGTTTACAAAGTCTTCCAATTAAATGCAATTTCCAGTGCGATGACTTTTAGGTTAAAATTGCATTAACGGGACCTGTAACCTCTCCCAATATATAAGCAATTATCTTTTTATCAAAGACAACTGCCAATGGGAAGTAACCACATGTAACTGTTTAGTAGTTACCAATTTACTAAAACTACAAATTATTAAAAGTGTAGGGCCAATCAGTTAATGAATTTTAATTAATTAAAATTCCAACATTCTCACATTTGGTTCAAACTTTTTATATAACCCACAACATAGTAGTTTTATAGTCTTTATATTTAATCAGAAAAATAGAATTGCATGAATCATAGCAATAAGTTCTTTTTAAACAAGTATTACCTTCTATGTATTATTACGCAATTTTTCTCTTTCTAAATAAATGCTTAAATGTGGAATATTACTTTATGAACAAACCTCAAATTTTTTGTTCTAGGTTCTTCAGAATGTTTGTTATTCTCTAGCCAAAATGTATACAACTTAAAAAGAGAAAACAAACTAAATGATAGAGTTTCAAAGAATGAAAGCATTATCTCTCAAAGTGACAAATTAGGACGTAGTCCCATTTGAACTACATGATCCTTGAATGTCTTTGGTGGCATGTCTTTTGTTAGAGGATCAGCAATCATTTGCTCGGTGTGTATGTGTTCAATAAGCACTTCTTTGGCCTTAATGTGCTCTCTTATTGCTAAGTACTTAATGTTGATGTGTTTACTTCGACTTCCACTCTTATAGTTCTTAGCAAAGAACACAACAACTGAATTGTCACAATACAAACTTAGCAGCCTAGAGATAGATTCAACAATTCTAAGCCCAGAAATGAAACTTCTTAATAAAATACCAGGTGTAGTAGCCTCAAAATAGGAAACAGACTTAACTTCCATGCTAGATGTGGAGACCAAAGATTGTTTGGCGCTTCTCTAAGATATAGGACCTCTGGCTAGTATAAAAACATATCTGGATGTTGATTTTTGAGAATCAACACAACCAGCAAAGTCTAAGTCTGAATATCTGATGACCTCCAAAATGTCTAATCGTCTATATGTAAGCATACAATTTTTAGTCCCTTGAAGATGCCTCATGACCTTCTTTGCAACTCTCCAATGATCTAAACCTAGATTGCTTTGATATCTTCCTAACATTCTAATGCAAAAGCAATGTCAAGTCTATTATAGACTTGAGCATACATAAGGCTTCCAACAGATGAAATATAAGGAATGTTTTTCATTTGTTCCTTTTCAATCTCAAGTGTAGGACATTGGTTCAGATTGAACCTGTCACCCTTAACAATGGGAACAACACTGGGTGAACAATCTTTCATCCTAAAACTCTCAAGAATTTTAATAATATAGGTTTCTTGAGATAGTCCCAAAACATGTTGATATTGATCCCTATGAATCTTAATGCCAATGACCTAAGATGTTTCACCCATATCCTTCATGCTAAACTTTTGAGAGAGAAATTGTTTCACCTCATGCAGCAAACCCAACTCATTGTTTGAAATCATCTATATATAACATAAGGAAGATAATTTTACTTCCACTAACCTTATGGTATATACATTGATCTATAACATTCTCTACAAAACCAAATGAAGAGATACCATTATGAAATCTTAAATACCACTATCGAGAGGCTTGTTTTAGTCCATAGATGGACTTCTGAAGCTTGCAAACCAAATTCTCACCACCACTTGAAAATGAACCCAACAAGTTGTTTCATATAAACCTCTTCCTCCAAATCTCTATTGAGGAAAGTTGTTTTCACATCCATTTGATGTAAATTGAAATCAAAATGGGCAATTAATGTCTTGATGATGAGGAATGAATCCTTTTTAGAAATTGAAGAAAAAATCTCTTTATAATCTACCCCTTCCCTTTGCGTGAACCCCTTGGCAACAAGTCTAGCCTTGTATCTCTCAGTGTTGCCCAATGAATCCCTTTTGGTTTTGTGGCAAGATGAGGCACTATATCCTAGGTATGATTTTGTCTAAGTGCATTAAGTTCGTCAGCCATAGCTTGAGGCCAATGAGATTGTTGGACTGCTTCAAAGTAATCGAAAAGTTCTTTTTCGGCAAATATCTGACTCATAAAAATCCCGTGGGTAGAAGAAAGACGGTCAAAACTAACATAATTGGATGTAGGACAAAGGCTACCTGAAATATCTAGAATGGTTGGTCAAACATAATTTGTAGTTCATATAGGTGGTCGATTAGGACAAGAGGACCATCTTTGGGGAACTAGCTGTAAAGGCATATCAAAAGACCTTGTAGGAGATGGAGGTAAGGGTTCACCAGACTTAGAAGATTCTGCTGGAATTGTATCAAAATGAAGATCAGTAGTGATTGGTGGGGGACCAGAGTCTGTCAGTTGTGTACTCGTGTTAATGACATGGAGCATGATGAAATGAGGAGAGACCGATAAATCATTATCCAGAAAATTAGGCAAATGCTAAGATTGTGAACTTGAGTCTTTACAAATGTCTTTAAAGGGAAAGTTGTCTTCATGAAAGATAACATCTCGAGAAACAAAAAATATGTTCTTAACTGGATCGTATAGACGGTAACCCTTCTGGAGTATGGGATAACCCATAAAGATACATCGAGTAGCTTGAGGGCCAAACTTGTCATGTGGACCAAGAACGCCAGAGTAACAAAGACAACCAATAGAGGTGGCTGATGTAAAGTGGTTTCCCAAACAGAATGTCATAAGGAGTCTTGCCACTGAGCACACAGGTTGGCATGCGATTGATCAAGTAGCTGTGACCACACATTCACCCCAAAAACCTATAGGTACATTGGCTTAGTATTTAAGGGCACAAGCTACTTCTAATAGGTGACAGTGTTTTCATTCTATAACCCCATTTTGTTATGGAGTATAGACGCAAGAACTCTTGTGGAGAATTCCAAGGGACAAAAACAAAGAGGAACAGTGAAAATTAATGAAATCCAGAGCATTATTAGTTCGAACATGTTGAATTGATGTGTGAAATTGAATTTTTACCATGGACAATTTATTTATTTATTTATTTTTTTGATATGGGGAAGTGTTTGAGTTTCGGATTGCATGAGGAAGACCCACGTCCCACAAGAGAAATCATCTACAATGGTGAGAAAAAAAAATGGATCCATCATGATTAGGGGGGTGATAAGGACCCCAAATGTCAAGGTGGATCAAGACAAAATGATGTGTAGTAGTGGTTGTGCTATATGGAAAGGTAGTACGAGATTGTTTTGCAAGAGGACAAACCAGACACTGTGGTTGAGGAATTGAGGCACTGTGCCCCAATCTTTGATGGAAAATAAAAGAATTTTTATTAATATTTGTATTACAATGAGAAGTTTTAATACAAGAAGGCGACTTTTGAAATTCTTTAAAAAAATTATCAGTTATCCAGTAGTACAAACCATGATGGACCTTACCCAAGCCCATCAATTTCCCAATTCAAGGGTCTTGAAATTCACACTTAGTAGTAAGAAATTTTAATATGCAATTGTTATTTGTGCAAATTTTGGATACAGAAATAAGATTGAAATGAAAATTGGGAACAAACGGAACAATTTTTAAGCACTACATTTTTTCTTAGGTGGACGGTTCCAATATGGGTGGCTAGTGCAATATTTCCGTTTGGCATACGTACAGAGGCAGACAACTTAGTAGACATATGACTATGGAAAAAATATTTGGGATTGCAAATAATGTGGTCACTAGCCCCTGAATCAATTATCCATATATCATCTTTAATAAAATTTAGACAGAAATATGTACCTGCATGAGAAGTCGTATTTGCTTATGAGATACGATTCAGCATTTGGAGATTGTATTGTATTTTTTTTTATCAATCATTTACTTTGAATATTTGTAAACTAGAATCAAAATTGAGATTGTTGTATTGTATTTGTATACTTGTATTTCTAATGGAGATGTAATTGTTAATGTTAATTCTTAATCCTAATTTCTAAGTTTGTATTTGTAATTTATAATTATAAGTAATAAAAAAGTGTTGAAATTCAATTAATATTTCAATGTCTCTTTAGTTTATTATATTTCATAGTGATTATATATTTTTTTAATGAATACAAATACAAAATGTCACTAAATATAACATATATAACACCCTCCTCCAGCCAGGTACCATCTAAGTATTCCGTTACAATGGAAACTTAGAGAATTAATGCCTAGAAGGTTTGGTAATTTAAAACGTAAATATTGGTTATAAACATGTACTATATGAAAATAAATAAATAAAAACTTCTCCTCTCATTTACATTACTTTCTTAATCAAACTGTCGAAATATGATTTTATATAAAAAATATGGTTTAAGGAAAACAACTAAATCAATTGTTTAATAGCGGAAGCAAATATAAAATATCTCCCATCATTTATAAGCAAGACATATTCATTATTTCATAAAACTTAGATTATAGACATCAAACTATATATATTAAATAAAAAACAACATCCTTTATATAATATCATAAGTTTAATTAAAACATAAGTTAACATGCATGCCCCCAAGCTTCCTTGACTGTCGCTCGCCATTACCACTTCAACCATTACCTGCAAAACATGGAAGCTAGGGAAATGAGTGCTAGTCACTCAGTAAGGGTATCGATCATTTAACCTTATGTAACATTCTCAAACTTAGAAAACATCTTATTTACTT